CCACATTCCTGACTTCTTGTTCATTGCTGGTTTCTTGTTTAGCATTATTTTTGTGAGATTATTCTCTTCTGTTACATGAGGTTGTAGTTTGTTTATTCTTGTTGGTGTGTAATACTTTGTTATATGAATATGTCGCAACTCATTTATCCCTCGTTCTGTTGAGAGAGAAGTCTATTTTTAGTCAGTCTATTTGCAGTTTGGGGGTTACTGCAAATGAGTGGGGGCTGCTGCTATGAACATTGTTCACATATCCTTTAGCAAATGCAAATATGCGTTTAGTACATAATGCTAAATGATTTTCAAAAATTGACCCAGTTCACACTCCCCAAACTGAATAATAGTTCCAGTTGCTCCACATTTTACCAACACTTGGTATTGTCAGTCTTTTAAATTTTAACATTTCTTTCTGGCAAGTGTCATGTTGTCACATATGTTTTTTAAATTAGTATTGCTCTGACAACTAAAAATACAATTCATCATTCATCTGTTTCCTTTCCCTCACTAGAACTAATAAAAACCTGAAGTTAATATCATTTTTATAGATGTTTTGGTACTTTTACTACATGTGCATGTATCCATAAATTATGTATACAATTGGTCTTTTGTGTTACAAGTTTACATAAACAGTTACTTCAAATTGCTTTTTTCTTTGACATAATGTTTTGGGATTACCCAAGTTGATGCTTATAATTAAGTTCATAAACTTTAATTGCTATATAGATTGGATATAATTTATTACTTTTCTAACTAAGATAGGTTGTTTAAAAATTTTTGCTATTAAGAAGAGGGCTACAGGTTTAACAATTTACGCTCCAACAGAATTGCTTAAAATTTGTTTGTCCACCTTTCCTCAGTTTTTCGCATTGCCAGGCTTTTTAGTTTTGGCTACTCAGATGAGTGCAAAATAATACCCCACTGTATTACTGAACTGGATATTTTTAATGCTGTTTAGATTTCTTCTTCTATAAAATTTTCTCTTGATAGATTTTACCTGTAATTCTTTTGGGTTGTCTGTGGTTTTCTCACTGAATTGTTGGAGAAGGAAATGGCAACCCATTCCAGTATTCGTGCCTGGAGAATCCCATGGACAGAGGAGCCTAGCAGGCCACAGTCCATGAGATCGCAAAGAGTTAGACACGAATGAGCAACTAACACACACTGAATGGTGGTTCTTAACTGATTCATTGAGTCTGTATGTAAATTTTCTCTTAGGTAGGTATCAAATTCAACCTCCAAATATATGGTTTGTCGTATTACTTTACTTGTGGTGTCTTGCTGAAGTTTTAAATTTTAAATTATGTGCATTTTTTATCTTCTTTAATTTTTGCTTTTTCATGACCTATTTAAGAAATCACTTGTACCTTGATAATGTAATGGCATTCTCCTATATTTTCTTACAATAGCTTTATAATTTTTCTTTGTATATTTAGATCTTTGATCCATCTGGAATTTATTTTTATGCATACTGTTAAATAGGGATCTAATTTTATTTTCCTTCAGGTGGATAGCCATAAATCTCTTGTTAGTGATGGCTAATGCAGCCTATACCATTTACCAAGTCACCAAATGTATATAAGTCCTTAACTAGGTTTTCTATTCAGTCACATCGGTCTATTTGCTGATACTGTTTTATTACTGGAACTTTATAATAAATAAAGGTATTTTCTTCTGCTGGTGTTTAAAATGATGTGAGCTGTTCCTGTCTCTTCACTTACCCATAAGAATTTTAGGATTAATTAATAAGATTCCACCTAAAAATCCCTCTCAGGATTTGATTTCAATTGCATCGAATTTAGAGAATATTTCAGTTCTTCATAGTTCTCATATCCAATTTGTTTATATTATAGTTGCTTTGTACAGATTCTGCTTTTTGATTTGTCAGTGGTAAAGAATGTGCCTGCCAGTGCAGGAAATGCAAGAGACTCGGGTTCGATCCCTGGGTCAGGAAGATTCTCTGGAACAAGAAATGGCATCCCACTCCAGGATTCCTTCCTGGAAAATACCATGGACAGAGGAGCCTCACGGGCTACAGTCCATGGGGTCCCAAAGAGTTGGATACGACCAGGCAGCTGAGCGCATGTGAACACATTGCACATGCCCTATGTCAAAGGAACTGATTTCAATCTATGACTTTTCGCATCCCCTCCTTCCTTCTGAATTCTGTTTGCATCTTCCTGAAGCACCCTCTTTGGAATTCTTTCAGTGAGGGTCTGTGAATGATTACATTTCTTTGTCCTTTTCTGAACATTTCTTGATTCTGTCATCACTCTTTGTAATGAACACTGGAAGCCACCACCCAGATTCCTCTTCAGAAGTGAAGGACTGAGCTGCCGGTAGTCCAGCAAGCTGACAAAGCCCAGCTGTCGGCCCTTCTGAGGAGTAGTCTAGTCCAAGGTTTACACCAGCTTCCCCTGTCAGCCCACATCCAGTGGCTGATGTCTCAGGTGTATAAAGGCTGAGTCCCCTTGCTTGATTCTGAAGGAACATGCCAGGTTCAAAGTCAAGCTCTTCACTGACACCATAATGTAGGCCAACTCTTCACTTCATCCACTGTGGCTACCACCCCTTCCTCATGTGATGTTCCCAAAGCATTCCCTAACAAACTCCTTACACTCATCTTGGACTCAGGGAAGACATCCCAAGTTGATTGATGTCATGGTTGAACCAAAAAAATAGGAGCTAATATGGAATTTTAAACTTGAATCATTAGTCCCCTGACTGTCAGTGTAGACCTCTTCACTGATGACAGATGAACTACAGATGGACTTTGGCACAAGGTAACAAACAGTGCAATAATTAAAATTAAAAAAAAATTTTTTTATCAGTAGTGAACTGGGATATATTCTAATGGAAGGTAACATACTAGTAGTGGGTGTAACATATCAGGTGTTTAAGAAATACAGGTGAACTAGTCATCTTAAGAACAAGGAAATTGGCTTAAGCAAAATTGATTCTTTGGAAAAAGTAAAAAAGTTGAGAATGATTAAAGGCTATTAAGAATCTAAGAGTAAAAAAGTAAAGAAAAAAATTAGTAGCAAAGAAAGAAGCTTTTATCTCCTGAAGTAGGAGGGCAGAAAGAGTTGAGGAACAGGCCCAGTACTTAATGTTAAGGATGGCAGAGCTCCAGAGAAGATTCACCATCACACAACCTAGCCAGGTTGGCCATGCCACGTCAGAGTGCTGGCTTGGAAAAAAGAAGCTCTGATGCAATGGGCTAGGTTGTGACACTTGGACGTCTTGAATCCCTGGATTCTCCTGAACACCCTGAGTCTGAAAACAGAGTCCAACTTTCCCGATCAATGGTGAGTGCTCCCCTTGGCTTAAAACCACGCAGAGGCCTCCTCCCTGAAGTGCAACATGTGCTCCCTTCAGGATCTGCCTGCCACTGCCTCTCCCTGCCCCCAGCCCCTGTTACTGGGTTGATGACTTGACTCAAGTTACAACGTAACCTGGCACATACTGCAGTGAGGGAGAAGGGTCTGATCATTAGAAGATTGTTGCTGTTTAGTTGCTAAGTCCTGTCCGACTCATTTGCTATCCTGTGGACTGTAGCCCACGGGGTCCCTCAGTCCATGGGGTTTCCCAAGCAAAAATACTGGAGTGGGTTGCCATCTCCTTCCCCAGGAGATCTTCCTGACCCAGGGATCTAATTCACATCTCTTGCATTGGCAAGTGGATTCTTTGAATCACTGCGACATCTGGGAAGCCCATAATCTGCTATACTTTAATGTAAAATAAAAAGATTAGGGAGATGGATAAGAGAATGTGGTATCTCTGGGAGTAACAAGGGTGGACAGCAAACAAGGAGACCGCTCAGTTTGTACATTCAAAAGAAATCAAGGGAGCGCTCAACCAGGAGCCAGAGAAAAATGCTCTAATAATGAGTCACAATTCCTTGCTCAGCTTTAAAGTCTGAGCCAGTTTTTGGATCTGGAAACCCTCAATAGAGAAAAATCATATCCACAGGAAGAAGGCCTAGAAATAGCATAAAAGATGTACATCGTAATAATTTCCCCAGCCTTCCCCTAGAGTGTTTTTTTGCAATTTCCTTGGCTAACTATTTGTAGGAATAATGGAAACATCAAAACATTTCTCAATGGAATGACAGATACAGGAATTTATCTGCCTTCTTTTAAGCTTTGGGCTTCCTTGGTATCTCAGACGATAAAGAATCTGCCTGTGATGCAGGAGACCAGGATTTGATCCCTGGGTCAGAAAGATCCCCTGGAAAACAGAATGGCTACCCCATTCCAGTATTCTTGCCTGAAGAATCTCATGGACAGAGGAGCCTGGTAGGCTACAGCCCATGGCATTGCAAAGAGTTGGACATGACACTTTCACTATTAATCTTTATAAGAAAGACATTTGCAAAATTTTAAAATAGTACCACTCTCCTCTGTTTTATATTTGGGAAAATATGGTTATTTTCATAGAAATATGCTATTCATGCTAATATGTGATAGACTTATCAGGATAATTTCCAATAAATGAACAGCTAAAATTTTATGTTTTATTTTTCATATATGTGTGTTTGACTCTTTGAGACTCTTTGGACTGTAGCCTGCCAGGCTCCTCTGTCCATGGGAGTTCTCCAGACAAGAATACTGAAGTGGATTGCCATGCCCTCCTCCAGGGGATCTTCCTGACTGAGGAATTGAACCTTGGGTCTCATGTCTCCTCCATTGGCAGGCAGGTTCTGTACCACCAGTGCCACCTGGGAAATCCAAGTTTTTTTGTATGGTAAATATCAATTGACTATAATCCACATAAACAAAAGTTTGTTAAAATTCTCAAGATTTAATTAAGAGTTTTTAAGGGTCCTGAGACCAAATTTAAAAAAATTTTAAAACTACTACAATAGACAACATTACAAGCTAAATCATCTGTATAATACTGAAGCAAGTTGCACAGTCTCTCTGACCTAGTTTCATCATGTGTAAAATTAGGAGTTAAAGATATATATATATATATATATAAAGTAATTAGAATGCCAAGAGCATGAAACAGCATTGTTTACTTGTTACCAATGCTATTCTATTTTCTCTGTGTGAGAGGAAGCAATAATATCTGCTAAAATTGATGAAGTGGTAGAAGTTTGATGAAAGGGGAGATTCGAAAGTCCTCATGGAAAATGAGAATGGTAGGCTTGATTAGGAAAACATAGAAGGCTAGCAGGGCAATTTTGGGAGACCTGAAAACATCAGTGACTTTGGATTTAAAGTAGAATCATGATTACATACTTTTTTCCCTCTATAATAACACTCAGAAGTTCAGTGTAGGAAAGAAAAGGCAAGTTGTTGAATTAACAGAATTTGGCATGTTCCAGCTCAGGAAAAAAAAAAAAAAGGAAAATTGTGAGTGAAATGATGAACTGTATTTTAAAAGCTGGGGAAGAAAATATATTGATACCGAGAAAAGAGAAGGATGAAGTGATTCCAAGTCTTCATTAGGGACAATTGAGAGAGTTGACAATATAGGAGGCTGGATGGTTAAACATTTGAATTTTGGATTTCAGTAGTTCCACCTGATGACAAGTCCTGTGGTACAGTCATGGCAGTGAGTGCCCGTCCTGGAGCAGAGAGGATGGCTACTGGAGATGAAAGCCAGAGCCCAAGAGGATAAGCCTTTCATTTAGATGTTCATGTGACTTCGGGTGATGGCCAAAGTTGGAACCAAAGATTTTCATCAGTAAGGAGAGAGTAACACAAAGCAACAAGGAAGGAGAAAAAGTGGCATGGCTACATAAAAAGGAGGAGGGATTATCCGAGTAGGGGACAGACAGACCCTAAGCTCCTAACCAAGACATAAAGGAAGTGTGGAAAAATAAGCCATCTTCACTTTAAAGTTTAAAGTAAGCAGCCTCTAGGAGGGAGAGGATGCTATGTCTCAGCTAAAGACAGCAAGAGCACACTAGAGATCCAGAATGTAGAAGAATTTGTTCACAAAAGACTGGAATTCCAGAGGCCAGTGGCAACAGACAAAGGAGGGTAGTACAGACCTTCACTGACAACTAAAGGTCCAGTTTGTGCAGCAAACATGTAAAGTGGTTGTGTGGGGACAAAAAAGTTTCCTGAAGAATTAAGCAAGAATTTTCTGTTTGTACCTGATCCAGTACCAGGTTGTGAGTTTCTTTTTCCTTTTAGACTTTTCTCTTCCTTTCAGTTCAGTTCAGTTCAGTTGCTCAGTTGTGTCTGACTCTTTGCGACCCCATGAACCGCAGCACGCCAGGCCTCCCTGTCCATCACCAACTCCTGATGCCATGATCTTAGTTTTCTGAATGTTGAGCTTTAAGCCAACGTTTTCACTCTCCTCTTTCACTTTCATCAAGAGGCTGTTTAGTTCTTCTTCACTTTCTGCCATAAGGGTGGTGTCATCTTTAGCGTTCTCCTTTTCTGAAAACATAAAATTGATAGGTCCCTTCCCAACCACTTTCCTCCTTCTGTTCCCTCCTTTTTCCTCACCTCCCAGGTTCTCTGCACGGCATTGGGAGCCCCGCCCCCCGCGGGAGGGGCAGGGACGGGGCGGAGCGAACAGAAGTGGGCGGGCCCTCTTCTATCGACGTGCAGCCGGAAGGACGCTGCTGACGTCAGAGGACGTCCGGTCCGGCTCCTAGTATCTGTAAGCGCTTCTGGCCGCGTTTCTCCGGGTTTAGTAGCATTTTTTCCTAGAGCCGTAGTTCGCGCGTTGGAGCTGCTGCCGCCGCGGGCCAGCTTCACGCCCTTTCCTGCCCCCCGGCCCCCGGAGTGAGTCCGGCCTCCCCGTGAGGGTGAGCGAGGTCCGCCCGGAGCGCGCGCGAGGGAGGGCGCCCCGCGGGCGGGGACGGCCGTCGGTTTCCCCCGCCGCGTGGCACCGCCGCCTCGTCTCCCCTGGACGCCCCCCGCACCTCCAGTCCTGCTGCAGGCTTTGCCTCCCAAGCCGCAGTGAGCCCCTGGGGCCTGTTTCTTCATTGCACGCCACGGGCCACGTCCTGAAGAAGTGGGAACCTTCCTGGAGAAGGGCTTAATACCGTATAAAGCCGAGAACAGAATTCAGTTTTTAAGTTTAGAAAACAAACTGGAGGGGGAAAAATGAGGCTCAACTTTCCCAGCGGATTCACCCCTAGGGACGCAGAAAATTTCACCCAGTGAACACCCTGTGATTATTTTCGGAGCTCATTTGGGGAGGGCAGTACACCTTTTTTCACTCTGTATCTTGTCGCTTTGAATATTGGAAGGGTGACCTAGTGGACTTGGATGTTGCTCCACCTCACCACCCACTAAACCTCTTGGCCTGGTTTGTCGATGTTTTTAAGGCGCAACTAACCACCACATGATTTATTGATTGGGCATTCCAGCGTTAAGAGTTGAAACCCCAAAAGTAGAAAAACTTTGAATGACTTTAGTCCTGTTCCAAGCACAAGCTGGTGTGTGATTTTTGCGGTACTGTAATGAGAAATATAAATGTCGAAGTGTGCTTGCTTAGAACTCTCTCCCTGTATCACGGACATGACTCCGCTTTCTTTGAATATTTTTTCCTTCATGGAGGTTGTGTGTCAGTCGCCATGAAACTTGAAACCATGCTTGGAGGTTTCGAATTTGTAGATCTTGGATAGAGCCTAGAAGGCTCAGTCTGTACTTTTATAGATTTCCAGATAATTTTTGAGAACCACTCTTAGGAAAGACGGTTTTTAAAAAGTGTATGTAGTTTGAAGAATACTAGGAAGTTTAAGTTTCTCTTTCAAAGCAAGCATGTGGACTCGTTTGTGTATCTTTCTATTTATTAAGTGCTTAATTTGTGCTCAAAAGGCTGGGAGGCAAACCTTGTCAAGAAAGATAGAACTGGAATTTTCAGGGCACTTGTGGTATTCAGATGGGATGAAAAGCCAAATAAAAATGTGTTATTTGTCAAAATCTTGTTTTTTCTAACTGTTGTGGTTCCTTCAACTACCTGATAAAAGCCAGTTTTAAAGTCCTTATTTTGATGTGTGGTAAGCACATACTCTTAAGTATGAAGTTAAAATTACATGCTCACTGCAGGTAAAAGTATAAGGAAAGGCAGCTTTCAAGGAGTCAAATTGATTCAGATGCCTTTAATATTTTTTCAGAAAGGATAGTTTGTAGTTGATGTCATGTGACATGACTGTTGGATATTTTATCTAGGCATTATGTGGGAGAAATTAGACATAGTTGAAGTCGTGGCAGCATCAGGTTATCTGAATATATAGCTTAAAAAGTGAAATAAACTGGGTAAATAATTACTTTTAAATGATACATTCCTAATAATTTTGTTCACTTGATACAGAGTAATTTTTAAAGGATATTATTTAACATAGAAGCTTCTCTGTGGGAAAGAAAACCATTTTGGCTGTTAGGATAAATCTTTTGGCATTTACATTTTTTAGAACTATTTGATAATACAAGTAAGTGCTTTGTTTTTTTAAAGCCATCTATTTTATTTGGAATGATGTATGCTTCATGTTTCATAAAGGCTTAAAATGTGCTTAACCATCAAAATGGCAGAGCTGAGTTTAAAATTTAATGAGAATTAAAACATTTCATTCTGCTGCTCCTTAGTTTCTTTAAAATAGCAAACACAACAAGGCAATTATATCTTCTCTGTTTGCTTGTGTAGAAAGAAGGGAAAATGCCTAAAAAAAAGACTGGTGCAAGGAAGAAGGCAGAGAACCGCCGGGAACGTGAAAAACAGTTAAGAGCATCAAGAAGCACCATAGATTTAGCTAAACATCCATGCAATGCGTCAATGGTAATGGGTTTTTTGATTCTCAGTTGAAAAACTATGTAAATCTGTGTTAAAGGCATGTCTGTTGTTTTCATTAACACCGAATAGCAGTTGAGTTTTGTTTGATTTTGTTCATAAAACCTGTCATATTATCTTGGCTACTATTGTATTGATCAAGAATACATACTAGGAACTGTGTGACATTTTCCAGCCTCTGTAACCTAGTAAGCCTTCCTCAATTTATCCTATTAATCGGAATCTTTTCCCCATATGTCATCATTACCTCATCGCTTCCTCGGACCATGTTTTCTCTGCGTTGTCCCAAAACTCAGATTTGCATACCTCTCTGTTTTTTCTCTTCCCATTCCTTTTTATGTGTACTTTTGTTTCATCAAACATTTATGAAATGCTTAATATGTCTTAATTCCTCAAATGTTTATTGTGTACAGGCTCTGTGCTATTTTAGGCATTATGGAGGATACGTAGATGAATGACACAGTCTCTGTTTCCACAAGCTGAGGGCTCAGTTGTTTTCTGTATTACCTAATGTTTATAAATGACAGAAATCCAAGTTAAGTAACTTCAGGGAGAAATAGAGTTGATTGAATGAATAATGGAAAGACAAGGATGTAGCTGGGATGCAGGAACAGCTGGAACCTGGAACAGCTTCTAGTTCTGTCCCTTTCTTTTATCTAGTTCCATTTTCTCAGATTGTTTTATTTCATTTGGGTTCATAACCACTGGGTTTATAGCTTGCATGTTACATCACATATTGTCCTAAAAGAGGGAAAGAGCTCTGATAGGTTGGTCTTGGGTGGGTGCCATCCCTGGGTTAACCGACATTTATGACTGGGTTGGGGGGTGAGGAGGAGCAAGGTTACCTAATATAAATAGGACAGTGGGCACTCCTTTCTCTGTGCCAGGGTCATTTCTAGAGAAGAGAAGGAAGACAAAAGAAGAAATGACTCATCCATAAATAGATGCAGTGAGGGCTAGACTTTGGTAAGTGCTGCAGAAAAGGTACAATTGGGACTAAGGTATACAAGGACGAAAAGTTGGTAAAAGATGAATGTGGGGCTGGGGTTCAGCTCATAGAGGAGGTGGGATCATCACCAGAGCTTGCAGCAAGTAAAGGAGTGCGGAGGTACTTTCAGGGAGACGTATTAGAATAAGTAAGACATGGAAAAGAGAATACAAGACATAGTTTGAGAACAACTGGCAAATAGTGACTTGAATCTAAAGAGAATAGGCCAACGAGGTTTGAAAAGTGACCAGAGGCCAGATTGTGCAGTTCTTAGTGCCACATTCAGAATCCTGGATTTTCTGTGAGCTTCAGCATACTGTGTTCCCTACTGTTTCTTGTACCATTCTGTATTATTTTTCTGATTCCTTAAAAAAATTCAAAAAACAGACCACTACTGTTTTTAGCCTCTTTTGTGAAAATGCCACTTCTTTCTCTAGTGTGGTATGCCCAATAGCATACCTTTGTTGTTAAAGTATGTGTAGATGCTGGTATACATGGGCTTTTGAGCAAGTGTCACTTACATTTTAACATGAAAAATAGGATATTCTTTATAATGCAAGTAACTTTGCAGTTTTCATCCGGTAGAAAGATTAATATTATGTTTTTATATTTTACAGGAATGTGACAAGTGTCAGAGGTAAATTATTTGTTTTTCTATCTTTTTTCTATCTATATGTAATAATAGACGGACCTTTTATCTGGTATTGACTGTATTTAAAACTTTTCTTTTACATGACAAGGCGGCAGAAGAATAGAGCGTTCTGCTACTTTTGTAATTCTGTACAGAAGGTACCAATTTGTGCACAGTGTGGTAAGTGTATGGTGAAAACGCATGCCTTTTCTTTTACTCAGAATTTATTTGGTATTTATTTAGTTTGAACCTGTGGGTTCATCATTATCATTTACAGTAATGTTATGCTCACTGTTAATAAGATAATATAAAATGTTATTTGGCCTCCCAGAAAACTATCACATCTTGGTTTTTATCTCTGATGTCACACTGGAAAAATAATTAAGATACAGTTTAGGTACCATGTGTGTTGTTTTAAACATGAAAAGATTAAATTTCAGACTGATAAGATTTAGTGATCCTGAACTTTTCTTTATGCTGTTCTAGTCTTGTTGATATCTTTTGTTTACTTTTCTAACTTGATTGATGGATAGCGCATTGGACTTCTAACCTGATTCTTGCTGGTACTGCCTGCAGTATGTTGGTTAGACCATTGAACATAATTTTATTGAACATTCAACTGGTGCTGGTTTTTATGATCACTTGTTTTCTTATTTGGTTCTCAGTGTATGATTCTTGAGTTTCCTCACATGTATTCCCAAGTAAGTGGAATAGAGTTCCTAAGCCATGTACTTAATGCATTTTTATTCAGAGTGAATGATTGTTCAGAGTAAAACTATATAGTAGTTCATAGAACAACAAGATTGATGTTTCCCAAATAGTCTTCCACAGAACACTTGCCATATTAATAGGTATTTCTTCAAGCAGTACATACATTTGAGACATACTGTATGTTCCCCTCACTGCCATCTGGGAGAATTCTGTTACATGTGTGTGTGTTTAAGATTCTGAAGACCTCCAGTCAGGAAGCCTGATTAATTGTATTTACTCCAGAACCATCCCCCAAACTTTTGTTTAAACACAGGTTCCCCTTTGGTTATGGGATGTTAATTTCAGGTGAAACACAGTTTGAGATATGTTCATTTAAATGTGTTTATGCATGATAACATTGCAGAAAGTTAGGAAGGCTTAGGGCCACACCCCTGAATATTTCCGATGTAGTTCCAGCTTCCAAAGACGTCTTAGAAGTCTGTAATTCATGGAAAAGAGAACACTAACCTAGATAAACCCATCATCTGCTGGTTTTATATCTTTATTCATAAAGACAAATGGATGTAGAATGCAAAAATATAATAGATTGTGGAGAAGACGGAGCTACACTCTGGCGAGGCCCTTCGCTTGTCTTCAGCGTCTGGTGCTATGCATGGATGCCTCTCCTGCTCACTAGTTCTTGCCCTTAGTGTTGGACAGGGAACAGTTGGGGCGCTGCTGCCTCTCATTTCCAGTTTCTCTTTCTTCCGGTTTCCTCTTGTCTAGCTTGGTTTCCTAGGTAATCAGGGTAATGGAAAATCGAGAGTCTTCTGTTTCTTCCATGTTCCACTTTGTGGTGCCTGAGATGTGTGATTAGTATGTCACCATTAATCCTCTCGTGGCATGTGATAAATGAATTTCTTGATGGTGTTTCAGATTGCTAGTTTGCTGCTAGATCAGAGTTCTTGTGGCTGTATTGTGATTTTTTGCTTTATCACTGTGTTCTTGAGTTTTTGTGCTCCCTTGGACACTATTTGACAATTATTTTGGAAGAATGCTTACCTGGGAGCTATGTTTATAAATTTTTAACTGTGGATAAACATAAAAAATGAACTAGGTAATTTGCATAGTTATTATTTTATATTTGGTTTGAGAATGTTCTATGGAAAGAAGCAGTCCCTTCAAATCAGACTGCCTTTATTGTGAATTATAAAATGTGCATATCACTTTGAAATCTCTTTATTCATCTGAAAATTCACAAGGTTTTAAACTGTTCTGGTGATCATTAGATAAGAAAGCATAACCTTTAATTTCTGATTTTACTGCAAACATGAAGTAGTATATAAATTCCTAATCTGAAAAGATCAGACTCTGTTGAGATCTCAGTTAATATCCATTTTCTTTTTTCAGTTATGTAAGCAGTAAACAGTGCTAGTCTGTATTTTCAAACTATTTCCATAGGAACTTGGGCTAGACAAAAAGAGGAATTAGTGAATGTTTACATGGACCACTTTGTAAGACTAATAGTGAAAATTCATTTCTTTGCTAGGGAAAACAAAGTGCATGATGAAGTCTTCAGACTGTGTCATAAAGCATGCTGGTGTCTACAGTACTGGCCTTGCTGTGGTGGTAAGCTTCTTGTCATATCTTTTAGGCTGGTAGATTTCCAAGGAGCTGGAGAAGGCATTCTTAACCAGTATGCAGTTATTTTTTCCCAAATGTATTGCTTTGTCCCTTGGTTCAGTTAGTCTGGAGTTATCTGGATTACCTGGCATGTTTTTGTATGATTTTCACTTATTCTCCACTTGTTTTTGGCTACTTCCTTCTTTCTTACTGGGAAACGTACAGACTGCTTCCTGCTTTCTTATTGGGAGATGTACAAGGAATGGAAACTCATCTAATACGGACCCAAACAACAATTCGTCAGTCGGGCCTTTTTAACGTGTCTTAATTATTAAAACGTCAACAATATATTATTCCCACATTGCAGGCAGATTCTTTACTGTGAGCCATCAGGGAAGCCCTCTCTATATTGAAAGATCTGCTAAATTAAGATTCAAGCTTTTGATTGAATAAGCAACCTAAGTTCCAAAACAACCTATGATTGTTTTTTTTAAGCTTTGCATTTCAAAAAAGAGTACGTAGTTCACACAGTTTTGCTCTTCACTACATATAGACATATGTAGTTCATTGCATGTAGTTATCCTTCATGACATGTAGAATTGTCAAAGGAAGTTCATGTTTTAAATAATAGAAACAATTGTGTCCTATGATGCATTTTGCTCTTTTTTCCACTAAAAGATGTTATCCTTTTGTCCCTTTTTACTATATCTATTGTATTAATTTATGCTCAGTTCCAAATGTCAGTCCATGAGGAATATAATATTTAAAGTAGAATACAAATAATAATTTTCCAGGAACACATAATTTTTCATCATGAAGCAGACCTTTACATTTTTCAAGTGTGCATGTCTTGCAGAAGTAAGAGTTAGAATTATAATCATCTTGTGAAAATTCTTTAAGTATAGGATTGTCAGTGTTGCCTTTATTCAGAAGCTGTTGTAATCTTCCTTGGTATGTCTAGATTTATCAAATTACTACTTTTTAAATTCACTGAATTGTGTAAGTGTGAATGATCTCTTATATAAGAATACATTTAAGTAGAATCATGCATTGTTAGCTCTGAGTCCTAGAACAGTGATTTTCTGGCCATTTTCTATTTGCCAGTTAAGATTCCCTCTCCCTTCACTCTTCTCCAGCCTGATTTGCCATGGGAGCCTGACCTGCGTGTGTGAACTGGATTGGTGACTTTCTTACTTGTGGCTTCTTTTTGGCGTCAGCCCGTGGAGGGGCTGATGAGGGGAGGAAATTATGATCTGGGTGTTTATTCTTTCAGCTTTCTCCCTACCATGTTGTCCTGGTCTCCTCTATTTGATAGGTAGTCCTCCCCGTACGGCTCTCTCTTGTGGTTCTAGAACCTTCTTCTTTCCCTTGGCTGTATCCCTTCAGGTCTAGGGGTATATGTGTATTATCCCTTGATGCCTTTTTACGCCCTTCCCTGTTATTTGTGAATTATATCTTTTAACTCCCCTGGATTACCCAGGTTAATGTGTCATCTCTCTCTTGCTAGAACTCTGAGTTAACATTTGAGGATTTGTTATCCACACTGGTAATCTATTTTTACAAGTCCAAAACATTCTTCCTATTTGCTCTTTACCACTTTTGTTAATGGAGCCTTGAATAGAATTGAGTGCGACACTGAACGTTGAGGTTCAGAAGACCTGGATTTAAATCACAGCCCCTCTCTAATGTAGCTCTGGCACTTGCCTCATGCTCTGTCCCTCCTCGCCTGTGAAGGAAACACAGTTCAGTCCCATTTTAAGCGTCTCCCTAGCTCTTAGTGTCCTGTAGATGTCATTGTGCCATTGAAAGGCATAGTCTTACAGTCTTATCTTGATAGAGGATTGGAGTCGTATTACCTTGTCATTTAGTAACGTGTTTTACTTCAGTTTTTCCTACAAAGAAGTATATTAATGATTTATAATACATGCTGTGTGTGTGTTTAGTCACTCAGTCATGTCTGACACTTGGCGACCTCATGGACCATAGTTTGCCAGGCTCCTCTGTCCTTGGGATGTTTCAGGCAAGAATGCTGGAGTGGGTTGCCGTTTCCTACTCCAGGAGATCTTCCCAGTGCAGGGATCAAGCGTGCATCTCCTGTGTCTCCTGCATTGGTCGGCAGACTCTCTATCCACTGAGCCACTAGGCATTTAAAACATAAGTTGCTTTAAAAGAAAAAAGATGGTGGCAGAAATTTAACATTTTCTCTGTTGTTCTAGAAAAGTTATGTGATTATTTTATAAATTACACAGATAAGGATCTTTCTTAAGTCATAAATGTTAATATTTGCAAAAGTTCAGCTTAGTTACCAGAGTTGCTATAGGACAGGGCTGTTTGAATTGTGGGCTCTAGACTTCATTTAATTTAAAATTCATTTTGACGACACTACTATCTACTCTTTGACTTATTTTAATGATTGACATTTAGAGTATGTGTATAGTTTGCCTCCTGCTTCTTTTTCTTTGGATTTGTAGCTTAGATTTGTATATTGTAAATAGCTATTGGTGAAGAAGTTGGATGTTCAGGGAACCTTGTTTAATTTTGGGTTAGAGAAAGCGGTACATTTTTAAATGCAGCCACTCTATCACTGAACGTTGATGAGTGGCTGAATGCATATAATTTTGGTGGTAGCCTTTGGTTAAACAATGGTTGTAGCCAGTCCGGTGGCAAAGATTAATTTTTTGTGTTCTTTGGTTGCAGGGTGCAATATGTGACTTCTGTGAAGCTTGGGTCTGTCATGGGAGGAAATGTCTCAGCACACACGCCTGTGCCTGCCCTCTTACCGATGCTGAGTGTGTGGAATGTGAACGGGGTGTGTGGGACCACGGTGAGTGGTTACATACAAGTGATGAGCTTTGCTGGAAGTCAAGGATGACCATGAAACATTCTAGATGCTCTTGTTGATGATTTTTTTTTTTAACAGGATACTATCAATCCTAAGTATTGGCACTATTTCCATTATCAGTTGAGTTCAGGGATCCCCAGCCTCTGAGCCACAGACTCCTCCTGTCAGATTAGAAATAAAGCACACAATAAATGGAATGTGCTTGAATCATCCTGAAACCATCCCCCCGCATCCCCAAACCTGTCCCTGGTGCCAGAACGGTTGGGGACCAGGTAAACTTTAGTTGGACAAAGGATTTATGCATAGCAACATTAAGAGGCAGTGCTAGGATTGTCTACCGAGGCAGGTAGGGAGGGGAGTTAGTACCGGAGAGGAAGTGTCTCTTAGCCTTTCGTGTATTATATTCAGAGCCAGGACATAGTGGGAGTTCACTCTTGTTTGGTTCAGTTGGTTAGTTTTCTTTGTAGCTTTTACCAGAACAAAAGTTGCTGTGCTATTTTGGTATACATCTGTGATAACTTGCCATCTTTTCTGAGCAGTTTTATAGATGAGAATTTTTTAATTAAACTTTATTATATTTACATTTTTGGGTTTTGTTCTTTAATCCAATAGGAGGCAGAATTTTCAGTTGTTCTTTTTGCCATAACTTTCTTTGTGAAGATGATCAGTTTGAACATCAAGCCAGCTGCCAGGTTTTAGAAGCGGAAACATTTAAATGTAAGTTTTTAATATGTTACATGTTCTTTATACCTAAGATTCTTAATAGTATAAGTGTTAAACTTACTGGAAAAGGAATCTGGTTTTTCATGTGGCCTCTTATGTACTGTAATTTAATTCAGGATCTATTTTCTGTTTGTAGAAAAAATTCAGAATACATATAGTCCATTGTTTTCCAACAGTGGTACCAGTGGCATTTTAGTTGGGTCAGTTCTTCATTTTGTGGGATTGATCAGGCCTTGCAGGGCTCGTAGAATTCCTGATCATGAGTACTAAATGGTGTTTTCACTCCCAAGTTATAGTAACTAGCCCCTCTCCCCACCCTATTTTCAGATGTCCCCAAATAAGTGGTTCAGCCCCTAGTTTGTTCCTGCTTTTGGTTCCAGTGACTCTTAGGAGTCTGCATTAGAAACACCTGTGGAGGTTTTTAGAAAATGGAGGTGCCCAAGCCTCATCCTTGGAGATTTTAAGTCTGTGGTGGGGGCCAGGCATCTGTATTTAGCCTGTAGCCATAATTCTCATGTATATTCCAGTTTAAGAACCAGTGTTGCTGATGGGTTCATGGCATCATCTTTACAGATAAAATTGCATTGTATTTTTACTCTTGTTAATTTCTAAAAGCTCAAGTTTTAGATTCAAACATTATTTGATTTCTACTTTTGGACCATATGTTTTGGGGCAAATTACCAAATCTTTCTAAACCTTAGTTTTGTTATATTTTAAAAGGAAGATGCTGATTTTTTCAAAGAGTTAACTGAGAAGAGAATCCATATGAAGCATCAGGATGGTACTCTTTCTAAGGGTACTTAGAAAGCCCTAAGTAAATAGTAGACACCATTGTAGGAAAGGCTGAAATTCCAGATTCAATCTCATGAATTTGGTTCTTGTTCTGCTATAAAATGCTAATCCTTACACTCATCTGTAACGTCTATAAAGTTGATAAGTCATTAGTCTTAACACACATGTCCAGACAAGTATGTAATTCTCACAGTATTTATAAAGAAAATCTCAAAAGATTAAAGGGACATGTCAAAGTAGTCAGCATTTTTGAGCTGTTCCTAGACTTGTGTAGAATGTATAATATAAAAATTAAAATATTTTATTTGAAACTTGGGAGCTTTATGTATTTTATAGTATTTAAACCCAAAGACAGGCAACTTTGAGTGATGTGATTTAGTAAAAGACAAAGGAAAAATAAAGATACTGAATAATGAAGGGATTTTAATATAAATCTATTACCATTTGATACCTCATATTAACATCATTCTCATTGTAGATTCACAGGTTTCTTTGGCTTTGTGTAATTTATCCTCTTTCTTTACTTTTTTTCATTGCTTTGTTTTTTCTTTGTTATTCTTCCTTTGCCAGTTGCCATTCACTCCTTGAAATATATGCTCTGAAATACTGCCCTAATCATACACATAAGCCTCAAAGATAGTTTGTTTCTACTCCCTTACTGGTCGTATCTCATAATTTTTGGATTTGAACTTATAACTATGAATGGGAAAATATGGGAATTCTTTAAAGTACTTATTTTACTTGCATAACCAGTAGGAAGAATGTCTTGAGGGAAAAAAAATCCCCACACAAGTGTGTATTCTGCCTTTATTTTTTCAAATAATGAAAATGGCCTGGGGGCCTCTAGTTTAAGTGGCTTATTATCAGTAGTCTTTGATGTATCCAAACCTGCTTTCTTTTAAAATACTCTGAAGACATAGAAATAGATTTAAAAAGAAAACCATTCCCCAGTCTAAAACTAGGAAAGTCACAATATTTTTTAGAATCTAGAAGAAGCGCATTTTCTAATATAAACTCAAGATTTTAATTCTTAGGGAGGAAAATTAACAGGACAGAGAACTGAAGTGCCTGTGTGTGGGGCTGAGGTAGTTAGCAGAAGACTGGCAGGGCCACGTCCCACCAGAATGGTTTGGGTTCCAAGAGGTGAAGGTGAGGGTGCGATAGACAGCAGTGGATTTCTTGGAGTTGTGTCTTTGTGACATGTCAGAAGCTCAGCTGGCGGGGATGGGGAAGCGTGTATGAGGAGTGTTTGGCGCACAGGGAGATTGGGTTAGGCACTTGGTGCTTCCACTGTGTGTTCTGGTTCTGTATTTGAAACGGGCGTATAGTGTTTTTGAGGGGCTTCCCTGTGGCTCAATGGTAAAGAATCCCCCTGCCAAACAGGAGGCAGAGGTTCTATCCCTGGGTTGGGAAGATCCCCTAGAGAAGGAAAGGGCAACCCACTCTGGTATTCTTGCCTGGGAAATCCCATGGACGGGGGGCCTGGTGGGCTACAGTCCATGGGGTCTCAAGAGAGTTGGACATGACTGAGCGACTAAGCAATACTCCTTTTTTTGACTGAATGAAGACTGAACCTAAGAACTCTGGGCATATCTTCAAGTAGAGATGATTGAGATTTCAGGCTTTTTCCTCTGCAGGCTGAAACAATATAGTTATTATAGGAGTAATTTGGTGTGCTTATATATATCTAACATGTAGTGAGTACTCAGTTGATTTTTACTTTTACTGTTAGCATTTAGGACAAGTAATACAAATCCATCTGAGTTAGTGGTGTTACTATGGAAGAAAGCAGGAGGGTTGGACAGAAACAATAATAATACACATAACTGAGAAATCATCCTTGAGTTTTTAAAAAAGTAACTCCCTGGTCCAGATTGAAAAAGCTCCCCATGACCCAGGCAAGCCTAAGTAAAAGAATCCCCAAGTTAGAAATATCTGGTTAAATATTTGAATTATAAAGATAAAATTTCTTTTGTTTGCCTTTCTTTTTTCAAGACCTCTGAGTAAATTGAAAGTTAATAGTTTACACTGTATCAGGGTAAGGCTTAGTTTATTTTCTTGTTCCTATAGGACTCTTAATTATTTTTGTCTTCTGTATTTTGACATAACTCAATATATGCCAGACATTTTGGCTATTCCAAAATATTTGCACTTAAGTGTAGATTTTTTGCATTAATTGTAGATAATGACCAAAATTAATGTGGCTTACTGACTAAAATAGAGATAAAATATTTTGGGATTTTTCCATCTGTTTTCCTGCCCTCTTGAACATTATTTTCTGTTCATAGTCACGCTTTTCCACCTGAAATATTCTATTCTCATATCAAAAGTTTGCAAAAAATGGCAGTAGCCTATCCCACCAGGAGATAATATATATTAATGGAGATGTATTCTTTTAAAAATAGAAGTATTATATCATGAAGTGAAGAGTCTAGCCAGTGTCATGGGGAAGAAAAGATGTTTTACCGTTTCAGGTTTTAAAATATCACTAATGACGTTTGCCACCTCCTAGTTTTGGAGGAATGGAAGGCGATGAGAGGATAATTAGAGTTATAATAGTGAAAGAATGCTGGGGATGTGCACCCACTGGTTTCCTCCCCTCTGGCCGGCAATTCCATCTTGTTTTTTTGTTTCTTCCAAGTGATGAGACCAAAAAAAAAATATTGATAGTTAATCTAAGATAAGACAGTACAAATATAAATCTGGAAAATAACGTTTTCATTCCAAATTTGAATCTGATATTATGTACTTTCTCCCACAGGCGTTTCATGCAATCGGCTTGGTCAACATTCCTGTCTCCGTTGTAAGGTATACTTTTACATTTTTTAGTTTTAGATTTGTTTCTAATCCCCATATATTCCCCCCAGCCCTTAGAATATTTTTAATTGTAATTAATCTATAAGGGTCCTTAAACATTATGTGTGGGTTTGCCCGGTGGCTCAGTGGTAAGAGAATCCTCCTGAAATGCAGGAGATGCAGGTTCAGTCCCTGGGTTGAGGAGATCCCCTGGAGGAGAGCATGGCAACCAACTCTAGTATTCTTGCCTGGAGGGTCCCATGGATGGGGAAGCCTGGTGGGCTACAGTCTGTAGGGTTACAAAGAGTCGGACACAAGTGAAGCAATTTAGCACACATGCCTACAAGTATTATGTATTTTAATTCTTTTCTTGTCGAGATTGTGAATGAGGTTGAGACAGCTTGTAGACATTTCAGAACTCATCCAGTTGGCCTGTGTTGTCTTGACACTAGTGTGCAGGTCTCCTGAATCTTAGCTCAGTGTTTTCATACCTTATATTTATGGAGAACATTCTGACCAAAATGATGGGAGTATATTTTAATTTATGTCAAAATGCACTTGCTTGGTGGAGTTTGAGGAAAGTGGAGATTTCCATAATGTTCTGCTTCCTTACACCTACCTTGTCTCCAACATTTCCATTTGTCAAGGATCACTGAACAGATGCACCCTGATTCACTTTGTCTCAGAGTAATTTCTCTGGTTCTTATTAATACTCCTAGTCATATCTCTTCTCTCCCAACTCCTCTCCAAGTTGGTCTGTGCTGTTTCCTCTGCCTTAGACCACTCTTCCACTCTTGCTTGCCCTGCTGTGCCCCCGTTCTGCGTATCTTAGATCTCGGCTAAGACATCACGTCTCCTGGAAGTCTTTCCTGAATCCCTGATCTGGTTTGCACTCCTCCTCTGCTCTGGCCTTTGAGTGCATAATGTCATGTAACTGTCTCTCCACCTAATGTGTCCCCAGTTAGACTGCGTGCTCTGTGTGCATGGATGAGCTGTTCACCATTATGTCACCAGAGTCTTTGTGAATACTCATATTTATGAAGAAATGTGTCTGCATGTTTCACCCTGTGTATACTTTATGCCAGGTGTTTAGGTCATAGTTCAGAAGAGTTCTAGCAGAGACCCTTTCCCTTAAGGAATTGAAATCAAGAATGTTACCAGTCCCAACAAAATTTACCTTTGCCTGAACAAAGTATATCTTTAAATTTCCTTGATATATTGAGTGATGAACCATAAAGAAGGCAGAGCACTGAAGAATTGATGCTTTCTAATTGTTCCAGAAAAAGAGAGTTCCAGACTTTATTTTTTTCTGCTCCATGCATGGTGACTGCAGCCATGAGTACCAGAAAAAGAGAGTTCCAGAAAAACATCTATTTTTGCTTTTTTGACTACGCCAAAGCCTTTGTATGGATCACAACAAACTGGAAAATTCTTCAAGAGATGGGAATACCAGACCACCTGACCTGCCTCCTGAGAAATCTGTATGCAGGTCAAGAAGCAACAGTTAGAACCAGACATGGAGCAACAGACTGGTTCCAAATTGGGAAAGGAGTATGTCAAGGCAGTATATCGCCACCCTGCTTATTTAACTTACATGCAGAGTATATCATGAGAAATGCTGGGCTGGATGAAGCACAAGCTGGAATCAGGATTGCTGGGAAAAATATCAGTAACCTCAGATATGCAGATGATACCACCCTTATGGCAGAAAGTGAAGAACTAAAGAGCCTCTTGATGAAAGAGGAGAGTGAAAATGTTGGCTTAAAACTCAACATTCAGAAAACTAAGATCATGGCATCTGGTCCCATCACTTCATGGCAAATATATGGGGAAATAATGGAAAGAGTGAGAGACTTTTATTTTTTTGGGCTCCAAAATCACTGCAGATGGTGACTGCAGCCATGAAATTAAAAGACATTTACTCCTTGGAAGAAAAGTCACGACCAACCTAGACAGCATATTAAAATGCAGAGACATTACTTTGCCAACTAGGGTCTGTCTAGTCAAAGCTATGATTTTTCCAGTAGTCATGTATGGATGAGAGAGATGAAGGAAAGCTGAGCACTGAAGACTTGATGTTTTTGAACTGTGATGTTGTAGAAGACTGTTGAGAGTCCCTTGGACAGCAAGGAGATCAAACCCCCAGTCAATCCTAAAGGAAATCAGTCTTGAATATTCACTGGAAGGACTGATGTTGAAGCTAAAATGCCAATACTTTGGCCACCTCATGTGAAGAACTGACTCACTGGAAAAGACCCTGATGCTGGGAAAGATTGAAGGTAGGAGGAGAAGGGGACGACAGAGGATGAGATAGTTGGATGTCATCACCGACTTGATGGACATGAGTTTGAGCCAGCTCTGGGAGTTGGTGATGGACAGGGAAGCTTGGTGTGCTGCAGTCCATAGGGTAAAAGTTGGACATGACTGAGTGACTAACTGAACTGAAATGTGGTTCTGGAGAAGACTCTTAAGAATCTCTTGGACAGCAAGGAAATCAACCCTGAATATTCATTGGAAGGACTGATGCTGAAGCTGAAGCTCTAGAACTTTGGTCACCTTTTGCAAAGGGCTGAGTCCATTGGAAAAGACCTGCATGGTGGCAGAGATTGAGGGCAAGAGGAGAACGGGGTGACAGGATGAGATGGTTGGATGGCATCACCAACTTAGTGGACGTGAGTTTGAGCAAACTCCAAGAGATAGTGGAGGACCAGGCAGCCTGGCGTGGCTGCAGTCATAAGGTTGCAAATAGTCAGACACGACTTAGCGAGTGAACAACAGAAACATACTGAGTGATGTTATCATGTGTTTTTTGAATTACTTATTTAACTTCCTAATTTTTATTTCTCCTATATAGGCTTGTTTCTGTGATGATCATACAAGGAGCAAGGTGTTTAAGCAAGAAAAAGGAAAACAGCCTCCCTGCCCTAAATGTGGACATGAAACTCAGGAAACTAAGGATCTTAGCATGTCAAGTAAGGCTTTTCTTAAAATAACACTGGAGTGATTTTGCTTTAATGCATAGACAAGATTTGTTTCTTTTTTTCCTCTTTCTATTTTTGTTTTTGCCTTTTCTTCATATTTGAGAAGATGAACTTGTTCTCCTAAGCAAATGGAATTTTATAGCCTTGGAAAATTGTGGGTAAAATTTTTCAATTTAACTTAAGAAATTTATCATCATTCACTTCAATATTTGGCATTTGCTTCAGTTAATGACATAGTGAATACTGAAATTTAAGACCAAAAAGAGTGATTTGTCTGTTTTTGCTTGGGCTTTCTTGTTAAATAATTGTGTAGTAATAAATCCTTAATATTCAGGTGCTGGTAATCTTCGGTACTTGGAAGTTGGAATTCATTTTGAAGCTATTCTTAGGTGTCTGATGTTTGAGCAGCAGTGCTTATTATGTTATACACTGCTACTGTAGGAAATTGTTTTATGGTTTAATGTAGTTTTCCCATGAAGGAATGCAACTACTACAACATGGTTACAATAATGCAGCTCACAATTTTGTTAAAGAGAAATTGACTCTTTACCAGACATATCAGAACAGAACCATAATTCTAAATGACTCTGACAGTACTTTGTTTAATCAAAGATACAGTTACACAGTGAGGGTGAGACATAATTTTTTGCACTAAACTTTGTTTTGCTAGAAAGGCAGAAGAAATGACAGGCTTTATTTTCTAGGATATCTGAATTACAAAATAGTTCTTTTGAGAAAAATATAATGACATGAAATCAAGTGTTCTGTAATTTGAAAATACACTTTTAATTAATCAAAGGCCTTTTAGACCTTAACGTGCCTTATTTAATGTATGTATGTAAATGCTATTCTTATTTTGTTTTCCAACTTTGTCTAGATTTAATGAAATGATACAGTCATGTTTATCATTTGTTTTATATGATGTATATGTAGACTCTGAGTAGGATAGAACCAATTGTTTTTTCTGAGGTCTTCTTTTTCTTTTTAAAGTTTTATTTATTGACTGCTGTGCAGGTTCTTCTCTACTTGCAGCAAGCGGCACTGCTCTCTAGTTGCAGTACTCAGGCTTCTCATTGCAGTGGCTTCTCGTTGCAGAGTAGGGGTTTCAGTAGTTGCAGCCCATGGGCTCAGTATTTGTGGAGCATGGACTTAGTTGCTCCGTGGCATGTGGGATTTTCCCAGGTCAGGGATCAAACCCGTGTCTCCTGTATTGGCAAGTGGATGCTTTACCACTAAGCCCCCAGGGAAGCCCTGAGGTCTTTTTTCTTGCCAGTTAAATTTTAAGTGAGTAAATGAGGAGAATGTGACCAACTTTTGCATTTGAGAGTAAGCAGCAGACACTCAGGTTCACATAATTTTATGTGTTGTAGAGGATTTGGAGAATTTAATCAAACACCGGTACATATCTGTTTTGTAGCACGCTCCCTGAAATTTGGCAGGCAAACTGGAGGTGAAGAGGGAGATGGAGCTTCTGGGTATGATGCCTATTGGAAGAACCTTGCATCTAATAAGTATGCTGGTGCTAGCTACCATGATGAGGAAGAAGATGAGTACGAAGCAGAGGATGATGAAGAGGAAGAAGATGAAGGTGGAAAAGATTCAGATGCTGAGTCATCAGATTTGTTTACTAATTTGAATTTGGGAAGGACCTATGCCAGTGGCTATGCTCACTATGAGGAACAAGAGAACTAGGAGAGCTGCTTGCCCTTTGATGACCTTGTCTCAGGAGCTGGGATGTGTATGCTTAATGAACCATGTGTGGATGTTCAAAAGTATGATACACATTGTTACTTAGCCTTGTGCAGAGACTAGTCACATTTACTGGGACAAGGAGTAGGGCATAGCTTAATAGGAACTGATAATCAGGCTTCTAACCTAAGAAAAATGAATTTCAAATGTAATATGATTGATTTAAGCAATTGAAGCATCATGGGTTGGATTTTTACTGATTTCTGTAATCTAGTAGGTTTTGCCAATTAAATACATATATAGGATAAAGGAATAGGATGATAATATATTTGTTTGAAATGAAATTGCTGTTTTTATTAAAAAAGCTGCTTATAAAATCATTTTGTCTGATTTTGTAAAATGTAATGGGTAAAATGAATTATTGTATTTTTTCTTGTTTGTCCATAGGATAAAAGTCAGATGTTATATGCTAAATTTTCATTAAATAGTCATGTTATCTTAAGTCATTATATGTATGTTTCAGCCATTGACTCATTCAGTTCTTTCTTCACAGTGTGTGTCCTGAACAATACCTGTTATTTATTTAAATGTATGGACAAAGGTGACCATATAGCCATTTTTCAGAGACACAGAACCAGTATTATCACACAGCTGTTTTACCTAGCAAATTTGATTTCTCTTTGAATAAATCTAGTATCTCACTTATATACTTTTGACATTTAATTTCTTATTCACACTATTTTAAACCTATTTTGGAAAACATTCTGGAATTTTTGTATAAACTCATTTTTTATCTAATATGTGAGATAGGTATCAGAAATGAATAGCGTGTGGTGGACACTGAGTGATTCGGCTGGACCCTGTCATTCATGGTGGGTGGAGAATGGTTGCTGGCACAAGTTCCAGTGGTTGCAGTTTACACTGATGATGCCTTGGGATGGTGTGGTAGAAAGGAATGCAATATTGGACTGGCTGGCATTTGACAATATGGAGAAAATTGTAGCCTTGAGGATAACAGGGTCAGATGGCTATTACTGAGCCATTGTTACTCCATAGAAATGTAATGAACAGCTGAGGGCAATAACAGGCACTAGAAAACCAGGCGTAGCAAGCCAGAGATCCTCTAGATGCATTCAGAAAAGCTCCCATCTCTTGCAGTAGGAGAACTGAGAACGCTGAGGACCAAACCAGGACGCAGTAGTCTGAATGGATAAACTTCAAAAGACAGCTGTCAATCAAGGCAGTCTGTTTTGCAAAGGTCAAAGGACTGGGAAAATTGAGGCCTCTGACAAGTGAGATAGCGACATCTGAGTGAATGCTGCTGAAGGCTTGTCCTCACTAGATTCCTGAGCTTCGTGAGCCTGCAGTCACAGCCCACTTCTCTGTTAAGGGTAGGCAGCCCTAACCCCAAGCTGGGTGGGAATGCACAGGTCTGTTTCCCCAGGCAACCTGTCCCCACTTCAGGACTTGCTTTGTGTCCTTGCTACAAGACCTAGAATGAGGGTGAGCAGCTGTAATTAGGGTTAAGCAAAACTCAGCCAGCAAGAGGCTGGGCCTGATGAGACAGGGGACAGACCGTGCCCCAATAGAGCTGCAAGAATTGGCCTGTATGTGTTGGGTGAATTAAGAGAATGCTTGGGACTGTTAGGTGAAGGTATTGACTAGGACGGGGAGAACTCTATAATAGCACCCACGTTGGGTCTTTGGGTTGAAAAATAAGCTATCTGAATAGGATTTGACATCCTGGTTAGGATCCCAGGAGATGTGAACTCACTATTAGGGTGGCTTCTAGAAACATGGAAAAAGCAATGGCCAATTCTGAACAAAGTTGAGTGGCCACTGGTGGTGGAAAGGATGAAAAGACTGAGGAACCGATATGCCAGAATGGATAGGTTTATCTTTGGATGATTATGTTGCATAGAAAGGCCATAAAGACATGGGCTGATAGGGGCACAAGGGCCCCTAAAAAGTTAGTGGTAACTGGAGGCTACATCTAACAATGGAAACAAACTATTGTAAAGGAAATCAATCCTGAATATTCATTGGAAGGACTGATGCTGAAGCTGAAGCTCCAATACTTTGGCCACCTGATGTGAAGAGCCGATTGATTAGATGCTGGGAAAGATTGAGGGCAGGAAGAGAAGGGGGTGACAGTGAGATTGTTGGATGGCATCACTGGCTCAATGGACACGGGTTTGAGCAAACTGGGAGATAGTGAAGGACAGGGAAGACTGGTGTGCTGTAGTCTATGGGATCGCAAAGAGGCAGACACGACTTAGTGACTCAACAACACCAACTGGAAAACTTAGCTTGCTGATGGCAGTGGGTGATAAGACCCAGAAGTAGTGGCTTGTGGCAGTACCTATTTGCTGAAAGTCAGCGGGGTCACAGTTACGGTAAAGAGGACCAAGGTGGGAGAGAACACACAGATATACCAGGAAGAAGGCCACGTGAAGACGGAGGCAGAGACTGAGCTACAAGCTAAGGAATGCTGAGAATTGTTGGCAGCCACTGGAAGTCAGAAGCTTGGAGCAGGTTCATGCCGAGGGCCTCCAGAAGGAACACCGCCAACACCTTGGTTTCTGGCTTCTGGCCGCCTGGACTGTGAGAGAATGCATTTCTGTTGTTTTAAGCCCCCGAGTTTGTGGTCATTTGTTACAGCAGCCCTGGCCAAACACCATGGGAACCAAACGCGGAAGCAGGAATTGTCCTCTTTCCTGGATTCACTGGGGAACATCTTGCATCCTGTCTTAGTGACTGGGGATCTGATGACCCCAATCCATGGGTTCTCAAAGAGTCGGACACAACTTAGCGACTGAACAACACAGGTCACCACAGCATTGAGTGGAGTCCGCTGTGCTATACGGTGTGTTCTCATTAGTTATCTATTTTATGCATGGTATCAATAGTGTATATATGTCAGTCCCAATCTCCCAGTGTGATGGGGACAGAGGAGTTTGCGTGGAATCTAGAGGATTTGCTTGAATTTTCTAGGTATTCCTTGGCCCACTTGGGATTGTAAATAGACATGGCAGAGCACCCCAGCCCGGGAAGGGTATGGTGACTAGATCCTTGGGGGACAATGGTCTGGGTCATTCCACCAGCTAAGCCACTGAGACCCGCAGAGGTAGTATCAGCCAGTCTGCTTCTGGGTCGGACTCTGCTGCAGGGCTGCCTGGGTGGGATCCACTCCTGCCTGGGCCACAGCATGAATCTGGTGACTGAGCGACTTGACTGGCTATTTTGACTCAGTATGACTCAACCATGACAAATAGGTGTTAAATTAATATCCCTATAAAAACTAGCAGCTGACACGTAATGTGGGGGTAAATATATTTTCCTCCTCTGAATTTTGGTCATGTGTTGCAAACTCTTTGCTGGAATATTATATTGATGTGTGTGAGGGTGACCTTTGTAAGTCACCTACAAGCTTCTGCTCATGCAGAATGTATGTCCAGAATGTCCAATTCAGGAAGTGAATAGACCATATAGCATGCACACCTGTGCTTTACAGGATGACCCCAGCTACTTATTTGGCTAATGGGAACAATTCACAGGATGCAACTTAATGTATTCTTCATCATACTTTGTAGAATCAGACATAGATAGTATAATGATAAATTAGACATATTAAAATAATCTTAGTAAAGAATCAGAATACAACATATGTAAAGGCCAGAGGATTTCTGATAGAGTCTGTGTGTGAAGGAAGAAGAATGTGCTAAGTGCAATTTGCTTATTTTCTAAGCTACACTGAGAGGCTTAGTGTAAAGCTGCAAGCCTTTCCAGATTCTCAGTTCTTTCTCCTTCTCTCAGGGTATCTGTTGGGCTCCACCACAGTCCCTCCCCTTCCCTGAGCAGCAGGCAGTAAATTGGCATTTGCTGGCAGTAAGCTAGGGCAAATGTAAGGTTCATCTTGTTAGTTTCTCATCTGGTAGGGATCACTGTCCCCTTCATTACCTAATATCCTGTGTCTTGAAAACTGTTATTTCATGTGTTTTGTCCCTGTTTTTTCTTTTTTTTTCCTAGGTGGGGGAGTATCCTGGTCTCTGCTTCTGCAGTCTGCCTGCAGTGCCATCATAATTTATAGACTTAACTCCATAGAAACTTGTTCTGCAGAGCTGACTGTTCTTTGACATATTTTCCATCCACGTTTATAGGGATTCTGTTACTATTTTTAATCCATCAAAGAACAAAGGGAGGAAAAAAAAACTCATAGTACTGTACATATCTATTCCTAACTCTATTAACTTAGTTGTATTAGTAATCTTACCTTTAAAAAAAATCTTGAAGAGTTTTCCATCAGTAAAACAAGAATAATTCTTACTACCAACTTTACATTTAGGCAATGTAAGTTTCAAAATTATATTGATTTCAGGTTTAATATAAATATGTGTTTTTACTTGTCAGGAGAAATGAAAACCAGTGACTGTTGTTTTTATTTTAAAAAAAATTTTGGCTATATCACTTGGCATGTGAAATTTTAGTTCCCTGACTAGGGATCGAACTCACATCCCCTGCATTGGAAAAGCAGACTCTTAACCTTGGACTGCCAGGGACGTCCTCGTTATCTTTATGTTTTAAAAAATGTTTGGAAGTTACATTCTCACATTCATAGAGGAAAAGTGCTAAGGCTGACGTGGTGAGAATCCTGTAGTTTTGATGCTCTTGGGGGAGCATTTTGTTATTAATTTCTATACCCTGAAAAGGTAAGCATCTGTGTCTTCATGGTGATGGAGAGGAAAGGATACATGGAAAAGCAGTGCTCTGCAGATCTGTAGCAGGTTTACGAAGTTAGAAAGAACCCTAAGTGTCATCAAGTTTAGTTTCCCACTCTGTTCAGGAGTCTTCTGTAGATCATTAATGTTTATCTGAAACTATTGCAAAGCTGCTTTTTTTTTAAACTGCATATAGTTATGTCTATAGCTTAATAGGAAATGAATATTATCATACAGAATAAAGTTAATCATCTGTACCTGAGACTTAAATAGATAGGATCATGGGATCCTGACTCATGCATAGAGCTTTAGATTTTTGGCATCATTAAAAATCTGTCTTAGTGCGGTAGGCAGAATAATGGCTTCCCAAAAAAGTCCACATCATAATCCCAGGAAACTGAATATGTTATGTTACATTGCAAAGAGGAATTAAAGTAGCAAGTGGAATTAAGTTTGCTAGCCAGTTGATCTTAAAATATGGAGATTATTTTGTGTTGCTTGGATGGGCCTAATGTAATCACCAAGATTCTTAAACTTGAGGAGGGGGCAGAAGAAAAGGTTGCAGTGATGGGAAAAAAAATCAGGCCTCCCTTGATGTCTTTGAGTATTGAGGAAGGAGACTAAAAGCCAAGGAATATGGGAAGCCTCTAGAATTGGAAAAGGCAGGGAACTGAATTCTCCTCTGGGACCTTCAGAAAGGAACACTGCCTTAGCAACACCTTCAGTTTAGCCCATTGAGTGTCAGATAACTCACCTACAGAACTGCAAGGTAACAACTTTCCACTCTTTTAAGCCACTAAATTTGTGGTAATTTTGTTACAGCAGCAATAGGAAAGAAACAGTCATTCCCAAAACTTTAAATGAAAGTGTTAATTTAACATTTTGGCCTGTATAAATTAGAATTAAGTGTTTTCACATAGAATAGTTTGTATTTCCAAACAAAACTCAAATACTCCCAGAGTTTACTGGGAAGTAATTATTAGGTTA